TATCATAGTGAAAAATATCAAACATACTGTTGGTGTGAACGTACTTTGTAATCACTATGAGAAAAACCTATACACTGGATTGGTGTAGTGAAGAAAAAGTGACATTGGCCACTATTCACTTCTTCACATTACATAGCCACACAATAGCAGATATAATAAATAAACTTAGTATTACGAAAATTGTTTAATTTTTAAGTCTAAGTTCAAGCGATGTCCAGTTCAATATACACTTTGATCAACAAGTGTGATTGGGTTACACTAGTTTCATAGGATTGAGGTAAGAGATGTCAGGATGAAAATGGACACTGAGATAAGTCTGTTGTTGAAATATGTAGGATAATGTTGTATGTGATGCTATAATAAAGCAACAGCTTGTAATAAGTTGTAGTTGTCTGTTTAGCAATTGAACAAAGATCATAAAAGATGATATTTGCTCTTAGAAGCTTTTAAGAAAAAGTTTATTTATGCAAAGAACTTTATTACAAGAAGACAATTCAAGATATAAGACAACAAACCATGGGAACCATATCAAAACACACAGAAAAAAACTATGATAATGAGGATGTCAAAATCAAAATTGTTGTGATATAGGATTAAGGTTTACCTTACAGTTAAAGGACATGGCTTGTTGTACTACAAACCATCAGATATTTATATAGTATGGAGTAAAGAACTGAAGACCTTTCTAGGAAACATTTTGTGTCTAGGATAAAATCTTTGAGGATTTTTATACTAATGGTAATGCAAATGTTAATTAGAAATAACAGGTAGGATAGAAAATATCTGAGTACAGATTTGATGGATCTCTAAAAGAAATCTTAGAAGAAACTAATGACCATTTGTGTAAAAATCACTTGAGAAAGACTAACACAGACTCGATTGTGGTGGTGCTGAAGTACGTAGAGCAGATGAATAATAATAACTTGTTAAAATTTGAGCCACCACAGAATTTGATAGTAGTACTGAATAATTATATACTATTTAGGTGTTAAGTAACAAAGTCATGAACAAGAGATTAATTTTATTACTATTTATATAATAAATAGTTGTAATTGGCTCCTTTTCTAGATACATGTTTCACCAAATGATACGTTATTTTGTATCAACTATTCAGTCGTTAAAAACTGAAGCTGTCTTGTTTGATAACAAACATAAATGAGAGTCATCAACTGTTTAAGTACTATTTTTTATTTTTTTTCTGTTTTCTTTACCAATTCATATACTAAAGTCATTCCAAGTGCATAATTATTTATGTTTCGTGCTATAAACAAAAATTCAACATCTGTACGACAAGTGATTTGGTGAAAGTTATAAATCAGGAAAATATTGTCCTTAACAAATACCGTTTCTCTGTCAAGTAACTATTAATTTTACAAGTACTATGACTGAAGCCTTTTGTTCAACTACCAATAGTTAAATTTCTTTAACAAATCACTTTCCATTTGGTAAGAACCATAGTATTAATAATCAAATATTTACAGATTCTGATTACCTGTACATTGGCTATGGCTATAAAACTCATCACCTCCTTTCCCAGTTTTACTTGGAGGGTCAAGACTTGCCTACATAAAGAAAATAAGTATAAATCTATGCGTTTTAAAGTTAATCATAAGAAAGTCAGTTGAAAAAAATACTAAGATGGCCTCCGTAAATGCAAGGCCCAAGAAGTACGATTATCAGATCATACGGCCCGATAATGCATTTTGCACTTTTAAGGAAACTGGGCCATGTCTTTAAATATTTTGAAAGTGAAGCTTAAGTTAGATGCTAAACAGTTAATTTAAAGGGTTAAACATCACATAATTTGTCCCACTTTTGTGTTAGATAAAAGTAATGAATACATTCTGTGTTTAAATGTTATTTTTAATTCACAAATGTGAATGCTCTAAGTAGTTGCTCGTCAGGCACGTGTTTGAGTATCAACTGAAAACCCCATATAAAAATTGTAGGATAACGTTAAACAGTTTAGATTTACAGTTATGCAGGGATGTAGGCAGAAGTATGTCAGTTATATCTTTTGCATACTAATAATTTTGCAGGTATGATAAAATGTATCAAATTATGTGCCAATAATCAGGTCGATGCTAAAGGTTCAATACCAGTAATTCAAGTTTATTATTATTTTGCTGATGTCTTAGTAAAAAGTGCAATGACGATTGAAATGCTGTGTACCTTTTTTGCCATACTGCTCCTGCATTAACTGAATGTACATGGGCTTGATGGATCAGACTGAGCCATGTAGGAGAAGGAATATTGACCATAATTCTGATGTAGTGTTTTTTTTCAAGCAAGAAATTGTTAGGTGTATCTATATGAAATGTGGCAAGATTTTAGTAAAATTTACAAGTCTGTTGTACACAAAAAGCAGATGAGTTACAAAAGTAATTGCCCTCAAAACGAGTCTGTGAATTTACAACATCAGTCTAACTCAGACTCTGGCAAGTCTGAGTGCAAGGTGATGTTCACATGAAAAATCAAACTACTTTTGTATATCATAAAATTTGCATTTGGTTAACCTCTAGAACTTCTGAAATGCATATTTACACTCGTTTTTCGGTATATTATATCTGCATTTTACTTTCCTCTACCACAAAGCGTACTGTATCAGTATTGTAGAGTAAAACGAATAGTTGATAACCCTGACATCAAATACATAATATCATGTTGAATGGCACTCTGTAAAAGATTATGGCTTGCACATTTAGAGCCCACCCATGCACATAGGGTTAACCTAACTTTTCAAGAGAGACCTGTCACCTATACGCAAAAAAATGTTTAGTATTTTATGTTTTATTCCTTAAATATATTGAATAAATGAGTAAAATCACAACACTTACAGTCCTCCATAAGGCTACTTTTCCAAAATAACAAATTTTTTTCATTAAGAAGCTTGTACATGGTATGTGTCTTAAACTCTTCCTGATTAATTTCATTATTTCTTCAACTCTGCCACATTGATAAGCTGTGGTATAGATCTTGTTTATTTGGACGATCTGTTTAAGTATATACACTCCTTGGTAGGGTCTAGTTTATCCATAAATGTTAGGCCTACTATGTACTGAAGAATAGATCTACACCAAATCTAACCTGACCTGAATGTAACAATCATTTCTTTCTAAGGAATGTTTAAAATAGTTAGAAATATGGCTGTCTGCAGTTAATACTCTGAGTCCTAATAACATATACAATTAGAATATACTCATAATCAACTACTGAGTCCTCACATCTAGTTAGAAGTGAGAAACAGAAGCTTATCAGCTGCTTATTTGGGTCTTAAGTAAATTGATTTGGCCGTTTCATGCTCCCTCACAATGTCGTTTTTGATGCACCAATCTGAAACTGTTGCTTATTGGCTTCTTATGGGAACACTAAACATCCTACTGATAGATTAAAAACATTGAGTGATGTTTAATTCAAATTGTAAGATGTCACTAAAATCAATCAAAATACAGTCATGTTAAAAAATGTATTGCATGATTGACTATTGTTCCTTTAGTATCAAGGTATTTCACACAAACAAGTTTTTAAAATTTAAACATGAGAGAACTTTATGAAGAATTGTGTTTATATAATAAATTGACACAAACCGTTTTGATCCACAGCATATGTTAAGCATAGGCAGTATGGCTTGATATACAGCATGCACTGTATAAAGGTTGATGGTACAGATTACAGACTTGTAGACAAAAGTGCCAATTTCTTTTATGAAAGTGTTTCTATACTAGATAATTTAGATGTGATGAACATGAAAGTTCAAAAAAATTAATTACAGGTTACAGAGTTTACTTATGCAAGATAGATTTGGGGAATTTAACCTTATACAGTTTACAATATGTTTGATTAACTCTAGAAAACACAGAATGTAACTTTTCTCTTAATACTTGGGATACAAGTAACTCTACACTGAAAATGTTTTTTTTTCTTATATTTCTTTTAATTTATCAATTCTAGTCAGAATTGTGAAAAAAAATAGCATTTTGGACCTATCTTTTATTGCAACAAGTTACTGCACAGGATGTCTTTCACTCAACACCAGAACTTATCTAAAATTATTTGTATACACTTTTGTGTACCTGCAGTCTAGTATAATTTTTATCATACATTTTACATCTATTGTTTTTTAATGCTGACTTGCTAGATTTCAGTATGATGATTGTAACTATTCTTCATTTGATGCACTGAGATGAATCTTCATCAAATGTTAACCAATATTATTTAACAATTAAGAAACAAATCGTGTATACTAAAAATTCTTAAAAGGCTGAGACTTATGAGTTACTGGTAGAGTGTATCTTGCCGTAATTCCACTCTATTTTGAATCATTCCCTTCTCATAAAATTTTTGTAATTTTTTTGCTCACTGTTTTTGACTTTCTCAACTGAAAGAAATCATGCATCAAATTGTTTTTATAATTATAACATATACATGGATAGCTATTTATAAGAACCCTGCTTTAGTAGTGGATTTAAGTTTGCAGTTTACTATAATTTATGCAGTGTATAGAGGAAAGAAAGGATTTTGATTTACAACTTGTCATTGTGAAGTTTTTTACTACATACAGCTGTAGACATGGAAAAAAGGTCATTGTTGTGAGTACCTTTGTTAGATATGGGGGTTCACCATGTTTTACACTAAATGTTTTAAATTCTTCTGTTTCTTCGTTATGTACCCCTTCTTCAGGAAGCCTAAAAGTTGCATAGGGAGCTATTTCATCTTCAAAATCTGTAACAAGAATACAGCAACATTGTCAACAAATACCTAACACAAACACATTAAATGAATTTAATATAGTAAATGTTCAACATTTTTCTGTAGGTATAACAAAAAATTAAATGTAGGAGATACATAAATACTAAATTTGACCTTTTATAATAAACTGTTTTATAATGCCAATTAATTAGGCTGAAAACCTGCAGATGCTAATTAACTAATTAGCTGTCATGTGTTGGACTTTGCAACTAAACTGTTATTAATATAGATTGGAAAACTACAGTAAATTCTATATTAAAGTGACTTGTTTATTTTTTTAATATATATATGTAGATAACACACAAAAATCAAATGTGAAACCATATAACATAACAGTTTTAAGTGTACTGTTACTTCATACTTTTTATTACATGTAATGTCACTTTTCTGAAATGTTTACTCAATATTACTCTTTTCATTTATTTATTTTTTATAAAACTTATAATAAATTTTTAATTCTTTCTTTGCCTTACTTTTTACATTATTTTGTACATGTTATACTTCACTAGAGACTGTTGATACATGTATGGTATTATCTTATTTGTTACATTATCTTGTAAATGTCATCTTTCACTAAACACTGTTGATACATATGTAGCATTATCTTATTTGTTACTTTATCTTGTACATGTAATCCTTCACTAGACACTGTTGATACGTGTGTGGTATTATCTTAGTTTTTACAATATCTTGTACATGTTATCCTTCACTAGACACTGTTGATACATGTATGGTATTATCTTAGTTGTTACATTATCTTGTACATGTAATTCTTCACTAGACACTGTTGATTCATGTGTGGTATTATCTTATTTGTTACATTATCTTGTACATGTAATCCTTCACTTTACATTATCTTGTACATGTAATCCTTCACTAGACACTGTTGATACGTGTGTGGCAATAAGATAATATTACATTATCTTGTACATGTAATCCTTCACTAGACACTGTTGATACGTGTGTGGTATTATCTTAGTTGTTACATTATCTTGTACATGTAATCCTTCACTAGACACTGTTGATACGTGTGTGGTATTATCTTACTTGTTACATTATCTTGTACGTGTAATCTTTCACTAGACACTGTTGATACGTATGTAGCTTTATCTTATTTGTTACATTATCTTGTACATGTAATCCTTCACTAGACACTGTTGATACATGTATGGTATTATCTTACTTGTTACATTATCTTGTATATGTCATCTTTCACTAGACACTGTTGATACATGTATGGTATTATCTTACTTGTTACATTATCTTGTATATGTCATCTTTCACTAGACACTGTTGATACATATGTAGCATTATCTTATTTGTTACATTATCACACTCACTGAAATTCAAAATTTTTTTACCCATTACATCTGTATTACTGTGGGAGTACAGAGTAATTATTTATTAATAAATAAACAAAGAAAGTCTTTAAGCTCTTATTGCTGGCTTGCCTTCAATTTATGGACATTATTTTTTTTATTGGAATCATGTTGCATTATTAAAAATTGGTAGGATAATACTTCTTATAAATAACTAAATCATAAGACATGCATTTAAAGATGGTAACAAGAAACGTTATATCAAGAAGGAACTTTCTGAGAGAGATGTCTGATAATAACCCCTAATTATTACAGTCTTAAATAACTAAATCATAAGACATGCATTTAAAGATGGTAACAAGAAACGTTATATCAAGAAGGAACTTTCTGAAAGAGATGTCTGATAATAACCCCTAATTATTACAGTCTTACTTAAATTTTCATATCCGAATTGTCTCTTTTCTGTTATGTGATATAATATTTGGTGCAAAGAAAAATGTACACAAGTGCCTAGATTTTTATTATTTCTTGCTTTATGTATTGTTTAGACACAGAATTTATACTCTGGTTAAAGACAGATCTAGCACTCAGATTTATTTAACTGTATCTTGGTTGGGATTTAATTACCTAATACATCAATTTAGGTTACAAAACCCAAATCCATAATTAGCTGAAGTAAATAACATCCTAAAACATAATTACCCAAAATATATGAAACCCAAATCATATCTTGATGAAATAAAACCCAAACCAAATCTTATATTTATCTACAGTAACTGGGTTAGGGTTAGCAAACTTCTATAAACGACAGTCTTAGTTAGCTAGACTATGGATTTTGTTACATAAGAGCAAGCTAACAACACTCTTTTATTACTCTTCTCTGCATTTCTATTCTCAGGCATAATAATTGCCTTAATCATGGATCCTACCTCATTCAGTCTTTTGTGTTTCTTAAAACACTTCTCGGCAACTGTATTCTCAGATGAAATACATATCTTAATATAATTACTACTTAAAATCATTGGTACTTTGTGAAATTCCATAGTTACTGAATTGAGGAAAACAAAGACAATTGTACATTTTGCATATATTTCATATATATGACTTTGTTCTTAATAAATGAAATATTTGTGAAACATACATTGATTGACTTTCTTTTCTTCAGTTCTGTACTTATCTTAATCACCAAAACATTATTAAGTTTGTCCTGTGGTTTTTGATGATAATATGTGTCATAACACTGATATCAATAAAAGAGGAAATTACATTTAAATCAGTATTATCTGCTGCACAGGATATGAATTATAATTTCTAATTTTATTAATTTTAATAGGCTTAATATTGTTGGTATAAAATGTTTAAGGCCTGGCATGGTCTGGTGATTAGGGCACTCGACTCACAAACATGCATGCCTTTTCAGCCATATTGCATTATAATGTGACAGTTTGTCACAAATTTTATTGGTAAAAAGAGTAGCCCAAGAGTTGGTGGTGGGTGGTACCCTCTCTCTAGTCTGAATTCTAAATTAGGGATAGTTACTGCAGATAGCCTTTGAGTAGATTTGTGCAAAATTCAACAAACAATGAACTGTTTATTACATTGACCATAGAATAGTACAAGATACAACTTAAATGTAAGATGTTTGCAATATTTACATAAATCTTGATATAAGGAAATCGTGTTGTTTTGGTACACTGAAACCACTATAGTGAAGTATATAGGTAAGTTCCTCTGATTGCTTTATTAACAAGAATGATTTTGATGCTAAAAAATCAGATTGTTAAAAGGAATTGAAAAGAAAATGTTTGGGCAAAAGTAAGTTCCCTAAATGAAAACGTTTTTGAAATACCAATATTGAATGTTCAGTGAAGTAACCTTGCTGCACATAAAAGTATATGTTTATTTGATTATTTATTACTATCCATTAAACAGTCAGCTTCTCAAGTTGGCTTATGAAAAAATTTAGCTAAATTTGATTTAAGATTATTGAAATTAACAGTTATTATATGACTATCAATAGGACTAATATTTATGACAACTGAATCATTAATACACACACTGAAAGGCTTCATATAAACAGTGAAAAGGATATTCAAAACACAAATCTTACAATGACTCGTTGAGGGAGAGTTGTTCAGTTGCTTGGCTTGAGCAACATTGTTTGAAGGAGTGACTTTTCTGACAGGAGAAGAAAAATATGATGGGAGCTCACGGCTGTGACTCTGACGACTTGCTTCAGAACGTTGGGACTTTTTTTCTGTGTGAGACATCAGGGCTGTAGTGGTTGCCACATCACTTCTTGATGAAGATACTTGCAGGAAAAATATATTTTATTCAGCACATGATCAGAATTTGTAGCTTAAGATAATGAAAACAAGTTTTTAAAATCTTGTTTATAGAAATGATAGGTAAATTTGTGATATGTTTTCAGTCAGTCTTTACCTTTAGATTGCTTTTTCTGTTAACTTTCTTTGAAGTTTTTCATATAGTTTTGTGACTTTTTTAAAATCTGAAAAACTTTGTTCCTGATATTACATAGCCATTCAGAAGTGTGATTCTACACGTGTTATACTAAGAGAGATGAAAATACATTATTTTCAAAAGTGTTTAAAATTCTCAGCAGTGGCGTATTGAGGGTGCCTGGCACCTGGGGTCAAAACATAATTTGGCACCCCCCTCCAAAAAAAAACCCATCAAAATTCAGGTGTTCACAATATTGCTAAATTTCCTATCAAGTATAAGATGTCAGTGTATTTTAATCAATCTAACACTGAAAACCAAGGGATTTCTGTAGGCATGATATTTCTGATGATATACTAATATTTGATGTCAAGAATAACAAAAAACATTTTAATGAGCCTTAGTCTTACTCAGTATGCCACCGATTCTCGGTGATCTTACCCAAACTTCAACAAGTCTTTCATGATCCATCCTCAAACCTTAATATCCATTTATATTTTCAGTTATTATATTTAACATTGTTGATACTACATTGGGTAAGTCATTTTATTACTTTGATTATTTACATATCTCATTATCACTTATACATTTCAGCTGGTTAGTAAGGCTTAACTTTTTTCCTACTACTGTTAGGGAATATGTGACTACATAACTAGAAAATTTGCTTATAGATATTACATCTAGTATATTTAGTGATGTTTTTTTTATTGCATTAAATTTTACTGTTTTAATATACAGGATTAGAATTTTTACTGAGCCTAATTTTGGTATTGATATAATCTGATATTTTTACATACATTAGTTTTAGTTGTGCTATCTGCACTGTCTCGCTATTGATTCTGTACCCAAACAGTGATGCACGTTGTAGTCATGTATATCAGATGTTATGCTAATCTAAACGTACACAGCAGGGGGCAGCTAATGGATTTTTAGTGTTCACTAGTCATTGTTAGGAAGCATCATATAAGTTTGGTGAATATTGGTGTTATGCTTTTCTAGGGACAGCACATCAATTAAAAAAACTAGTTTCTGTGTGTGTGTGTCTTGTATGTAAAGTTATGTTCCATTCTTTATTGAAACTAGCTTCATTAACAATATTGTTTGTAATGTTTCATATATACATTTATATATTTACAGTTAAGAACATTATATCACATTGTTAGTTTAAGTATATGGATTTAGCCCTAACTTAAGTCTCCCAAGAGGAATGAAGACGTACAACTGCTGAATGAGGCTTAGTGAATATTTGTCTTTGGTTTTGATTTTATGAATTACATACTCCTTTTTAGACTTTTATATAAAACTAGCTAAATTAAAGCTGTAATTGATAACAAAGAAGAGAAAATAATATGACTTTAATTACATCAAGTTCTGGAGTCTTTTTAATAACTATTTCTGATTTGAAGCTCATAGTAATAATGTTAGCACTGTTTGTAAATTTTGATACTTTAGTAAAGAATCTCTTATAGAGTTGCAGTTCATCTTAGGCTTACTTTTCATTCCTTCATATTATTTTACTATAATATCAAAACACACTGTAGTATGTCGTGTGGCCAGAACAACCTGCAGGACACACAGTGTGTTACTAACAGGAGTGATAGTTTAGCAATTTTCCACTTTCTTTAGCTCGGACTGTGGTAAACCAAACTATCAAACATTTTCAGTGGATGTACTCTACTGGACTTTTATTTTACTTACCAAATTTCATGGTAATCCATTAAGAAATGCATGAGACATAAAATCTCCAATTATGATTGTATTTCTTCCATTTTTTTTTTTTTTGCACAGTGCTATACTTTACAGAACCAACCAGATTCTCTAAAAGATATGGTGGTGGTGTTTCCTCTCTAAAACAGTGTTAATAAATTCCTTTATTGTAATGCCATGGAAACTAGGCTGCACCTTTTTTTCACACCTAAGGTGTTTTTGATTGGATATATTACTGCCACAGTTTCTAGAAATGACTTTCAATAAGAAAGACTTGCTTCTTTGCATTTTGGTGTGTTCAAATTGAATCTATGCTGTAATACATCTAAAATAAATTTTAATATTTTAATATTCTCCCTGAAATCTTATAAATATGTAGTTTTGTTGTATAGTTATTCAATACAACCTGTACAGAAGTATATACATTTAACTCATTTTAAAATAGCTATTTTTAGAATTATTGTATTGCATTGATAATAGATACAAAAATGGACAAACCTGTAGCTTGAGTTCTAGTGGGTCTATAGTGATGGCGGTTGTTGTTGTTTCGTCTACGCTTGTACATCACAAGGCATACCACAGCGACAACTCCAGCAATAAGCACCACAACAGAAGAAACCATAGACACCAGTGTAGTTGTATCCTCAAAAAAAGATGTAGATGAGGAAACATGACCTGGGTTACTGGAGTCTGGAGGGAAGGCTAAAATAGAAGAGTCCATATTATCAAGAAAAAGAACAAGATCTAAGAGTAGGAATATAATTTTGCCTTTTTTATAAAATGGTATTAAAGAAGTAATTTAAAATCCTAGGTTACAAATAGAATATTAAGTTTATAAAAGAAGTACTGAGATCTAAAAAGCAGAAAAAAGAATTATATATTAAAACATAGAGAGAAACAGAAGATCCATTAATATAGATTCTTCACAGTCATACAAACAGTAAAACAGAACTACTAGTGTGGATTCTACAATGTAATACAAACAGTAAAACAGAACTACTAGTGTGGATTGTACAATGTAATACAAACCAGTAAAACAGAACTACCGGTGTGGATTCTACAAGGTAATACAAACAGTACAGCAGAACTACTAATGTGGATTCTACAAGGTACTACAAACAATACAGCAGAACTACTAGTGTGGATTCTACAAGGTAATGCAAGCAGTACAGCAGAACTACTAGTGTGGATTCTACAAGGTAATGCAAGCAGTACAGCAGAACTACTAGTGTGGATTTTACAAGGTAATGCAAGCAGTACATCAGAACTACTAGTATGGATTCTACAAGGTAATGCAAGCAGTACAGCAGAACTACTAGTGTGGATTCTACAAGGTAATGCAAGCAGTACATCAGAACTACTAGTGTGGATTTTACAAGGTAATGCAAGCAGTACATCAGAACTACTAGTGTGGATTCTACAAGGTACTACAAACAGTACAGCAGAACTACTAGTGTGGATTCTACAAGGTAATGCAAGCAGTACATCAGAACTACTAGTGTGGATTCTACAAGGTAATGCAAGCAGTACAGCAGAACTACTAGTGTGGATTCTACAAGGTACTACAAACAGTACAGCAGAACTACTAGTGTGGATTCTACAAGGTAATATAAACTGTAAAACAGAACAACTAGTGTGGATTCTACAAGGTAATACAAACATACAACAGAACTACTAGTGTGGATTCTACAATGTAATACAAACTGTAAAACAGAACTACTAGTGTGGATTTTACAAGGTAATGCAAGCAGTACAGCAATGATTTAAAGTACAAAAAAATTCTAAATAAATATAAGATTAAACATAATTATGTATTCTAGATTATCATTTAAAAATGTAAATATTCTGCTTTACAAACAGTAGGCTTTTTAAAATTTTATTTAAGATAGAATATTACATGTAGTGTTTCTATTCCAAAAAAAATCAATTTTAACTATATACTGTTTGACCAGATTGTTACAAAACATCAACTATGTAACTACTTGCATGTTCATGTGTTGTGCTGAATGTGTGATGTGAGAATTATAATTGACGTACTTAAAATTTATTTTATAATATTAGCTTAGTTATTTGTGTCTTGTGCTCTAACACTGATTTTATTAGTTAATTCATTACTGGGCTTGTGTGTGAAGTTTGGTGTCTTTTGGTGATTTGTGTTAACACTGAGTAGTAAATTATAAACAACTAAATGTATGTGGTGGTGTAAACTGTAGAACAGGTTAAAGTATTACTGGGCTTGTGTGTGAAGTTTGGTGTCTTTTGGTGATTTGTGTTAGCACTGAGTAGTTAATTATAAACAACTACATTTATGTGGTGATGTAAACTATCGAACAGGTTAAAGTATTACTGGGCTTGTGTGTGAAGTTTGGTGTCTTTTGGTGATTTGTGTTAGCACTGAGTTGTTAATTATAAACAACTAAATGTATGTGGTGATGTAAACTATCGAACAGGTTAAAGTATTACTGGGCTT